CGCTGGCGACTCACGGCAGCCCAGCTCCAGGTTGAGCTGTTGTTCAGCATCTTAGCTGTGGAGGGCAGTGTCACTGGCCCTCATATGTGGGATTCGAACCGGGGCCCTCTGGCGTCCCAAGCCAGTTCTTAACCATCGCGCCACTCGGTTGGCCCAAGAAGATTCTTTTATTGGTACCAAAAGTGTGAATTTTTCTCGTGATTATCCTATTATGTCTATTTGATCCCAAACAACCAATTGAAACCTGGAAATGTTTGGTCAATTACCCGGCTGATTTTTATACACTGCTGGTAACCTGCCCACTGCCAATTGACAGTTATCAAACGTGCTAGTGCTGTTTAGATAAACTTACGTAAAAATAGCGTACGTAGTTTTCGTTCTGCTGGAGGTTGTGTGGCAAGAGGAGCTGTATTCAGCTGACACGTCCCGGGTGTGGCAATAAGTAGAGAGAGCAGCGTCTGCTCCTGAAGACACTGACCCCAGCACATTGCTTTTCAAAGGGAGATTTTTTTTTTTTTAATCATTGGCATCTTTAACACCCAAAGTATGAATTTACTGAAATTAGTTTTAGAATTGCTTGCTCGTTTCATAGAATTAACAGTAGCCAGAATAAAATAAAATGTTTTACCATCTGTAAAGGAATCTGGGTCACATGGGAATTTGCATTTTGAAGTTGGCAGGAGAAATAGTGAAATTGGTCCTATGCATGGACGGGTACCAAGCCCAGTGTTTATGCCCATTTTGAAAATTTACCCTGAGATCACCAGAGAACGGCTATAAATGGGTCAGAGTAAAGGTGTCAAGATTCTCTTTTTATTTGGCTTTGAAAATTATTCCTATCCTTCCTACTTTTAAATGGGAAATTAGCTCTTTGCCTTGACACTGTGGGCTCCTTTTGTAAGCCACTTTGAAGCTGACTTTAAAAGTGACAGCCATACATCGCGGGTCGAGGACCTGGCAGGAGGTAGGGGTGCTTGTTGCAGGTTCCCGCAGAAAGTTCGCTTACATTTCTCACAAGGGCCATCAAAGTGGAATTTAGTAATCTTTACTTAATGACAGCCTAATTTTTAAAACGCTTTTTATTTTTAAATAATTATAGAATCTCAGGAACTTGCAAAGATAGCACAGAGAGACTCGGGTACCCTTCACCCAGTTTCCTCCCGTGGTTACATCTGACACGATTGTAATACAGTATCAAAAGCAGGAAACCAACATTGGTCAGACTGATTTTTAAAAATATAATCTTGTAATTCAGATTTCTTTGGAATTATTATACCTTTGCTGACATAATATCAATAAAGCCACTCAACCTGAGCCCAGACCTCTCTGGGGAACTGTTTCAGCTCTCCTTTTTAAGTATTGCAGCAAAAGAAAGAAAGAAAGAAAGAAAACTCAGCTGACCCTTAAACCACAGGGGTGTGTTTTCATGGGCAGGAGGAGGGCACACTTTTAGGCCTGTAACCAAGTGATTGGAAACCTACGGGATGAAAACCTAGCCTTTCTCTCCAGCGAGGAACCCGTTTCCAGCCTATGGACTACTGGAGAAAGCAAACTTAAACACTGAAAATGTCTTAAAATGGGGTAAAGACAATATTAGCCTTTGAAAAGTCTGCCCTGAGAAGGATAGCATTCCATGAAGTTTTTTTGTTTTGTTTTGCTTTTTTGTTTTTTTCCTTTGGTGTTGTGCAAATCATATTCAGAAAGCCACGCAGTTGGTTTGGCGGGGCGGTTTGGGCACCTGAACAATGGCCATTAATGTAAGTTAGACGCCTCAGACCCTCTAGCCCATGAGTCTGTCAAGGTGACAAAATGGTGAAAGATATTTTGTGGTTTCAGTCCCATCTCGTCAGTGAAGTATTAGCAAAAGCATTCAAACAATTCCCAAAGAATCAGGAATGTTCCCCTTCCACCCAAAGCGTACTTTGTTTTCCTCCAATAGCTACCTGTTAAAATAAAAGAAGCAAAGCCCCAGCTTGTTTATAAAGTTACCTCCTTTTATTTTAGAGCTACCCTTAGCAGTGACTGATGTGTGTGGAGAAGCCTTTCTGGTGTTTCTAAGTCCGTCCGCCTCCCCCACCAACACCACCAGCCTTACAGCTGGCTCCCCCAAGCCCACAACTCAGTGCAGTCGCTTTATTTTCAGTAACGCCCGTGCCGTGTGTGTGTGTGTGTGTGTGTGTGTGTGTGTGTGTGTGTGTGTTGTCTCCGATGTGACTCTTTAATAATTGCCAAAATATTTAGTTTAGGGGAACTTCCCACTGGTCAACTGGATTGTGACTCTCCTCTTTTATGGTTTTGTTTTGTTTTGTTTTTTCAATTGCTTTCTGTTTAAATATGTCCACAATCCCCACTCCCCAATATATTTGTATATACTGCAATTTAAAAACTAAAAGGATTACTTGAATTCGTTGTTTTAACGTTTGACTCTTTTATCTGTTTGTTTTATTGGTGATTCTGCCGCCTAGTGACCTTTTTGTTTTTGTAACCGCTGGGGAAGCCGGAAGGACTGTTTCACTGCTAGCTAGGGCCCTGCCGGCTGCTCCACACTTGAGTTTATTGTAGACACTTGGGTTCTGAGTAAGTTTTGTTCCAACACGGCCAACATGGTTGTCTCTCTCTATCCTTATCCTAAAAGAAAAGAATCTGTCTGGCACCTTTTAGTTGTACCCTCGTATCTGCCTCTCTAATAAACGTTATATTTTTCTCAGTGTTGTGTATTTTAAATGATTTTTCACCTTTCTGAGAAAGTGATTCTGTGTATCCCAAATATTTAACTCTTTCATCTTCAATAATGGGGAATTTTCTAGCCAAATGCTTTTTAAAAATTCTGCCCTTTCCGTCCTCCTGTTTCTCCCCTGTGTGCACCTAAGGGCTTCATGAGTCTGTCTGTCTGGTCTGCCTTCTCCCCCCTCGAGATGAAGAACTTTCACTGTTTGTGGGACCTAAACATGGAGTGACAAGCTGTCCTTTTCACCAAAGGTTATACATGTTACTGCTAAAGAACCAGCGGTGCCCACCCGAGAGAGAGAATCCCCCTTTAAGCTCCCTGCACCCTTCTAGGAAGCTGGTGGCCTTTCTCTCCAAACTCAATTTATTAGAAAGATGNGAGTGAGGTGAAGGTGCTGGCCACGGACTTCGATGACGAGTTTGACGACGAGGAACCCCTGCCTGCCATAGGGACTTGCAAAGCTCTCTACACGTTTGACGGTAACACTGCATGTCCGCGGATTTCCCCCACTTTTCACAAACTGTCTGAGTCCCTCTGCTCTTTCTGTGATCCGACGTTTCTTTTGAAGCCTTCCAGATCTTTCTCTTATTACTCTTTTTTTCTGTTCATAGTATTTATTATTACTATGATGATTAAGTTGATGGCTGGATATTTTGCCTTTTGGTCCGTATAATTGAACAACTTTCAGTGAGCTCAGTTATAGCAGAAAAATTATTATTCTAGCTATTCATTAAATATTTATAGAACTCCTGTCGTGCAAAGGCTCCTGCAGGGCTGGGATGCAGGCGGCATGGAGTGGTACCCGCCCTTGGAGAAAGAAGGCAGATGTGCGGATAGGAGAGGGCAGCCTGCAGTATTTACCAGAGGAGGGGTACAGAGTGATGGGGTTTCACGGGAGGACGAGATCCCTCCTGAAGGAAATAGAGAGAACTCTTGGAGCCACGATGTATCAGAGGCCTGGGCGATGCCAAACACGGATGTGAGGAGATCGTGGGGTTCGTGTGGCTGGAGCTCAGGTGTCCTAGGGGTCACAGCAGACTAGAAAGGGCGCGATGCCCATGGGGGGTAAGAGAAGCATTTGGATGTTATTGGGCACACATTGAGGAGCTATTGAAAGTATTTGAGCAGAGGCTTGACGCGATCAGAGCTGTACCTTAGGACATTTACTGTCATACGTGTAGGAGCAATCAGAAAACTAGGATAATGGTTAGAAAGACGAGCCGAGTGTGTCCTGATGAACCTGGAATCGATGTCCCGCAGAACGTTCTAAGGAGGCTCAGAAAGAAGTAGTCAGTTCAGCTAAGTTGGGGAAGGCCTGGGATAAGTCAGTTTTACAGATTTCTTCACTACAGGACTTTTCAGAACCTTTAATACAGTAAATGTTCATTGCGACGAAACAAGAAAGATCAGTGCCAGGTTAAATATTCCCAGTTTTACTTCAGTCCAAGCCATCTCCTCTGCCCCCTGGTGCCCCCACGGTACCCCTATTTACAGCTCCCTAAACAGTTTACCTTTCAGAACACTGTTGGGGCAGCGGTGGCTAGTCTTTTGAAATAATTTCAGCCCATGGTCTTGGGGACCTCGATCAAGAGATGAACTCAGAGACACTGCCGTGAACACTCTGCTCAGACTCAGGGCTGATTGGAAGTGGGAATAAAGAGGGTGGTTCCTGAAGCTGCCTCCTGGGACAGTGGAGATAGATCGATGCCCTTTGAAATCGGAAAGTAGGGGGAGGCTCTAGTGTGTGGTGGGGGGGGAGCCAGGAGCCCAGGTCCCCCCATGTTGTGCTTCAGAGGGCAAGGCAACATCAAGGCTGAGCTAGGCTTCAGGCAGAGGGAGAAGGGGAGCGTTAGCTACAGAAAAGAGCCAGAGTGGAGCAGAAGTGGGGACAGTGCGTAAAGAGGTGTAATTGAATCCGTGGGAGCACTTTCACCCCAAGAGAGAGGGGAAGAATAGAGAAGAGGACCAGAGGGTCCCCTGGAGAAAGTACGTGGAAGGGCGGAGAGAGAGGGTCCCTAGAAGGATGGAAGGTGAGGACCAGACATTTCTGTGCCGAACGAGGCAGTTTCGGGGCGATGGGGACGGGGCCAGGCCACCTGAGGACCGACCCCGGCTTTTACTAGTTTCACTGCAAAGCGCCCTGTGTGCTCTCGGCCTGGGTCTCACCAGAACCTAATCTATATTCTGATGTGGCTTTTCCAGGTCAGAATGAAGGAACCATTTCAGTGACTGAAGGAGAAACGCTCTATGTTATAGAGGAAGACAAAGGCGACGGGTGGACGCGCATTCGGAGAAGCGAAGACGAAGAGGGCTATGTCCCCACTTCCTACGTCGAAGTCTATTTGGACAAAAATGCCAAAGGTGCTAAGACTTATATTTAATACAACTTAAAAAAAAAAAAACTTAAAAAAAATTGGAGTTGTTTCTCCCCACAACTGTGACTGTTGCAGGCAGTTCTTCAGAAGCCTGGATGGAGCGCGCTGCCACCGTGTTGTCCTGTAGCCACTCGGTGACGTCAGGCCCCTCCCACCGACTTTCCCTATCTAGTCCTGACTATAATCAAGTTTCACTTGCTGATGAAATTTTACATGGAAAGCTGCCAGCTGCCAATTTACAACTGTGTCATTTGAAATCTGATAAGTATTTTTCTCTTTCGGCAGTATCTGTAGATAACAAAAAGAAAACAACAACAAAAAATGCTGCCTTCTAGCTTCTAATCAATATTTCTGAATTTCAAAGTCCACACACATCACAGGGGCGCCAAAGACTTCAGACTTCTCATTTGTATCTAATATCCGCCACCAATCGAACTACCTTAGAAAGTTACGTTTTGTAAGCGTAAGTTGAACTGCACTAGTTTGTTAAAATTTTACCATGTTCACTTTGGAGGAAGTCATAAAGAAAAGCTTCCCCCCACCCCCACCCCGAGTAAAGAAGCAACAAATAAGATTCTTTTTTTTTTTTTTTT